CATCCTATCCGCAAGTATTAACCAGATCTTTTAGCGCGCCAGCAATGAAACCAGTATCCATGGCAAATTCTTTTTGCCGATGTTTCGTGTTGTCGTCGTTCGCTTTAACAATCCTCACTTCTCCAAGCGTCACGTGACTTGAAATCAAATATTCGTCACTAAACCTCTTACTGCAGGCCGCATACCACCACAATCGCATTTTCCATTCTGGTCATTGGGTACGCCTTCGAATGATCACACATTTGTCACTGCTACTCATTTCTGGTTGCTTTTCACGTCCCAGTTAGCCCGTGAAATGGGTACATCCGGCGAAACCTGTTCCCGCTTTAGTGTTTCGCCAATACAGGCCGTTGCAACGGTGTATTGTAGTGACCGATTGAAGTTTCACCCATAGAGTCTTGACACATCCGGATCCAATGGGGTTTCGGAAACCCAGCTGCAGGTGCCAGTGGCAGAATCCTTGGTAGCATTGAATTCATCTACCATTCGGCAGTGATCGGCTCATAATTTTTCCCAAGTAGATCGCCAATTTGGGACGTCTTCGTGAGTATTTTGGATATTGACTGACTTCAACGGAACTTATCATCAAACTAAAAATAGAGGTATCTATTCAACAACTTGTAAATGTGGTACATTCTAGATCCTATTTCCAGGCGCAAAAATATGTTGCTGTCAGAACTGGCCACATTTGGTAATACTAGTGAAAGGAAGAAGGCCGGAGTTATTTATTAGAAAACACCAACTGAACAGTTACAGACTATTGGACAGGGGAGCGAAACTCTCATATGCACCTTGTTTACAAAAACTGGATATCAATCTTCTCCTTGAATACGTCTTCCTGAACTTTCCTGGATATTCTTGACTGTTGCTCAAGTCCAAGCAAATGCGACTCCGCAAATTCCTCAATAGGTCTCACTTTTCAAGAGAAGCGAAGCGGATTTACGAGAAAACATACTGCTCGCATGCCCCCATCAGTAGTATCCACCGTTACACTAGTACTTCTTCGTTTCGGTGAGCATATGCACCAAACAGATCGGAATACGAGCGAGCGCGTGTAACAAACATCTCACCACGGGAAGGCACAACTCTTTTTCGTCCTCACTTGTATGGATTTCAGTGGCATCAATGGTGAACTACAATGTGTGGTTAAAAATGACCGCGCGGTGGTCATTTTGCTAGGCTATCAGTCCATGTACCCGTTTTCCTCAGTCCGTCGGAACATCTGTTGACGTGGATGGATGTGACGACATTCCAGTGTGGGCTGCCATCGTTGGAAGATTCACACATACACATACCATAACTAATTTTGGTTCATGTGACGAGTGACTCCTGCCTTGTGCGCCAAATATGGTGTATTCTGAACACTGGAATTAATATTTTGTTTTCATCCTAGAAGCAACCTGGGGAAAATCGGTGTCGAACAATACTGTCGTCAGAAATTAAAACTATCGTGTGAAGCTGCCAGAAACCTGTGCGGCCTGCCACTCACTCAGAGGAAACCCCCCCAAGGATGGCATCATGGAGAAGACAGTCTCCTCTCAGGAAGTTTTGTTTTCAACGAATCTTTGTAGGCGGAAAACGCCATTTGACACTCTCCAGGGAAGGTGGTAATCCCTCTTGGCAAGGGGCTGCTGTGCGTGGGATGTTTCACATGTACTGCCTCATTACAGAGTAACAGAAAAACTAGAGCAGCTTTTCACGGTTGCCTCTTACGATGCCCCATTCACAGATACATAATATGTTTACTGAATCGTACTGAATTTGTATGACCATGCAGAATAGATCTCAGCTAACTCCCATTTCAGGAAATGAGGAGATGGGCACTTCCCATTGGTATTTATTGATTGGTAACCGAAGGAGATCTGTGGAATACCCGAAGCCCCACGCATTTTGTTCATTGAGTTCGTTAGAAATGTCAAACAGTAGCGACCTATTTTCAGTGATTCATTTTGAGGACGTAGGAATCCGTTGCCAGTGTTTTTGCTTGCTTCACATCAGCTGCGTTCAAGAGGGGGGACTGGCGTCAATCGGTGACTGTTTCAAAGTGAGTGGTTGCGACCATGTCATCGACGTCATCAGAGTCAGGGCGCTGACAGAGTGCTGATACAATCCACCACCGCTAGCCGATCAAGTCGGGAGCTCCTTGTCTGTTCGATGTCCCCACCACTTCAATTTCAAATACACATTTAACTGCCGTTCCTATACTCAAGGCTAACGAGTCGCTCAGTCAAGTTTCTGAGTGTGGGAGTGCTCGAGTTTCGAGGCCGATCTCATGGGCCATGAACCTAAAAGGCCCTGCAAAGTCCGCCAATGCCGTGAGTTCTGAATTGAAGAGCATTGTAACATACGCACCATCAAGGCTATCTAGGATGGACGAGTTGGTGGATGCTTGAAAGTCTGGACAGTGGTAATAAGCTTGTCCAGTGGCGATCGAACGACGAAGGATGATCCTGTTTTTACTGCCTTCCGACGGAGGGTTGATTTAAGTACACCCAATTCAAATAACAAACCTAAAAATCCTAATACAGAGGTCCGGTTTTCAGGAAAAATCAACATGTTTAGAAAAAATTCGATTCTACTACGTGGCGTGAATTTATTGGGAATCGGCGGATACATCGCCATCGCCGGCTCAACTGAGCTCATGAAAAGATCTAAATTGCTTCATTTCTCTCCCACTATCATGTTATGAATATCGAAACTGCTGTCTGGAGGTTCGTCGCCTATAGTCATTTAATGAAAATCTGTTCTCCTTTTGCTCTCTCAACAGATGTCAATCGGATAGCACCCGTCGTGATCACTGGTAGTGTTGACCAGACAGTGCGAATCTGGGATTGTCGATAATTCATGAGGGGAAGCACGTTGCCAACGGACGCCAAAACACTTCCCACTGGAGATGGTGATTGGCTCACCAGTGATGCGCGCACCGTTCATCCAGCTGCACGCACATCTAACTCGACATTGGTGATGACACTGTTGGACGGTGTGTCTGCCCATCCTGGTCTCCTCATCGTCGTTATCTTATGTATAGTTACTTTCACTCCCACTCCCCGCCTTCCATCTCTGCCAAACCGAGTTCTTTTCGTTTTAACTCCTTCGTGGTGAATTGTATGTGCGCTATGCCCTCAATTACACAGATTATGTTGAATTCCCCAATCTTCCCCATCAGATTCGGTGTATATCGCACTCCGGCGCTCGAACATCCCCCCACCCGACTCTCCTAAAAAGGTTTTGGATTTAATTTGAAAAACATCTACCCACTCCCAGATTGCTGGCTTTGTGTTATTGGGTCACCATCCAGAGATTTGTCACACTCCTGCTTTCCGTTCTATCTGATTCTTTTTTTGTTTCGTCATCAAACTGGATGGCTCTGGCTAGTAAACCATTTCTACGGCTTTGGATCAGTCGATTATTTCTCACTTGTTTACCCTGTGCTGTTATGTCTTCCCTTTGCACACACACACACCGAGTTTTTTGCTGACTCCAGGTGGTGTTCTCGCTCACCATTCGTGATTATCGACTGAGGCATTTATTGTGTGTCCAAATGCGGGTGTTTTGTCGCTGACTTCAGCTTAACCGTCCCTTCCCTTGCTGTTCATTCCTATTACGTTTCTTTTCTGATCTCACTCGGCTGTTCGTTTGTTTGTTTTCCCATTATACATACATAGGCTAATGCATACTTGCGATCGACGTGGGTATTATTTATCCACCGCGCTGTCTGTTACTATCTCCTTAGGTCCCGTTCGTCCCATACGAGGTGATGCAGGCCTCAAATCAACTTTGTCCTTATTATTTCTTGACTGTGCACTTCACTTCACATTGTGTGCTTCACTAACCCTCGTGTCCAGCTACTTCTCGTCTTCTTATTCCGAAACTCCACTTGTTAGGCTGTCTAAGAGAAACTTGTTTGGAGCAGCCAGACGCGTTAGAGGTTTGAGGTTCCCGATTTTGTTTTTTTTTGTACATTCATTCATTCATTCATTCATCGATCTATCGATTCTTTTCCATGCATCCTATCGGTTTCGCGCATAAATTTTCTATGGCACTTCTGCCATCCACGAGGACGCTTTCAGTACGAATGGTCGCACTCATGTCATTTGCCTGACTGATGTTATTGTGCGCAACACCGCTCCGAGAATCTGTAGTTGCTATATTTGATGTTCGTCATACTGGTTAACCCCGGAAAATCGTGTGTCTCACCCAACACGCTGATTCTCTGTCTGGGCTTTTCCAGATCGCCTGCGTTGTACTGACCGTTGGATGCCATGGAGCTCTTTTTTCGCTTAAGGAGACGAGTAGTAGCCACGAAATCCTACGATGTGTCTAATTACTCCTTCGGTAGCATCTTATCTAGGTCGCTATCCCGTCCATGACAGTTGTCTGTAGCGTTGATGCCTACATGACCGACGCTAGCTTGCAAATCTACCAGTAATATAAAGGTGGAGAGCAAGTCAAGTTACAAGAATCCCGGGCACAGCTCCATCGTTGTGGTTTACAACCCACCTGTCCTCGCTAAAAGCTACCACTAAACCAAACGTGTTGGCTTTGCGTACAAATTCTGATAGTACCTAGCTAGTTCTGACCACCTACTTTCTTTTGAACTAATCGCTGAATCTCTTCTGCAAGTCGTGTATGGTTGATGCTATGCAGCTCAAGTTGTCTCTGCTTGGGTGTATTATTAGGTGCTCTCAAGTGGTAATTGTGTTTCTCAATAGAAGGACAAAGACGGTTGCCTAACCTAAACATTAACTCATCCTCTATTTTGAAGGGAGTCAGCTGAGGCCCAACCCACGTCAGCAACTCGAAGCTGTCCTGCCATAGTGGTTTTCAAATACCGCGCGGGCATTTGTACTTCGATGGTCTTGAGTGCGTGAAACTCGTTTCCTTTTTGCAAATCCCGCCAGGACAACCGACGAAAGTATCGTGATTCATTACTGAGTGGAGGCCTATCATGTGGTGACGTTTTCCTGGAGTTCTCTCTCGCCATAAGCGGAAGTATTCAGTTATTTAATCTAAGTTTCCTGGATTTCTGTAGGTGCAAGTGAGTGGGCTCGGTGATCCATAATCCACTCGGGAGCAGCCGCTAATGTCGATTACGAATAAAACGGATTTGGCTTATGCTGACGATAACCGAAATATTTTTGTTCTTGGGTGCTCCATCGCAGCATGTTATTTATTCGTCGAAATAAATCGCACTGGTCTTCTCGACCGAATGGTGTTAGTTCTACTCCTCAAACTTGGAATTGTCGCGGAGATTCAAAAGGTATCAAGATACGAACGTCAAGCTGCAGCGTCACAACTTTAGAGATGCTCAGTCGGAGAAGTTCTAATGAGAAGTTGCAATACCGCTCAGATTTTCCACTTGGAAATGTGTACTAGTTGTTGGATTCGAGCCATCTCTGCACCCCTTTGTGAATCCTCATGACAGCTGAATGCACTCTAGCGAGTCGCATAACTACCTACTCAGTAGTCAATGAGGCCCTAGTGCGCTGAAGTAAACACTGTTCGATCTCAGTAGGACTTCTGTATCCAGTTCATCCGGGTTTGCACAACCTTTTCTATGACAAAGTATTTCCGCGATATTCTATTCTTATCAAGAGGACACTGAATTGTTGTCACTGCTTAGTTTCCGCACAAAATTCACACCTTTGACAATCAAGCGACTAGCACACCTGCAGTGCCTGCGTCGCTGACTACTCACTATCGGAAAGTTAGTTAAGCACCCTCCGAGGATCAAAGCTTAAGCATGGGTGTATGAGAGAAACCGTGTTCAATTCCCTCATTGGATCTTGATCGTATAGGAGAGCCCATAGTTCCTCTAAAGTGTTCATGTTACTGGGTCTAGTTTTGTCCACTCATCTGCAATAGTGTGCCTCAGATTATTAATTATATGAAAGTTCCTGGTCATCGATGTGGACCCACGCTGCTGCTACTCCCCAGCCAATCTCATTGGGATTCAAATTCACCATCGCAGCCCGATCGTCAGTGCGACGGGTTTGCCTTTTCGTCATCCCTTACATATCTTAGCCGCGTGGACAGCCTCTTGGATGGTTTTTACCTTTTCATTAGACGAAGTATTCTTGTTGCGTCCGTGATATTAAAGCTTGCCGTATCACGCTGACGCTGTTTTCGATATGACCTTGAGAAGGGAACATGGCAGCACTAATCGTTCGGTGACAGGCTCTCACTTTGGTGTTATTCAGGTGAGGATAGGGGATATCTGCCAGTTGTATATGTAACAGATGCCGTGCACTAAACCAGTGACCGGCTTGTATCGAGGTTGAACCTGGTTGGTGGGCTGTGCGAAACTTATTGGTGTGGAACATGTTACACGCTAAACACCCCAACAGGTTTGGCATCATATCTTTCCTGAGCGGGTTTTTAAAGACGGAACTCTGTTACGAATGCGCGGCGGTAGCCAATATTCGTGTTAGGTTTAACTTTCCTCCTCTACTGGCTGTATCGTCGTGGCTTTCGCTGTTTATGCGGACGGTGTCGATCGTTTGCGTAGGTTCATTCGTTCTGTTAATGATGGGTTTCGCCGAGGCAGAGCCTGAGTATCATTCGACTGAATTAATTTACCCAAGGTTTGATGACTCGGCTGTATTCGCATGTGCTCACCTCACATTGTACAAGTTCCTTTGTTTGTATGAAGCCTTGCCATGGTGACGGAGCCAGACAAGATTATATGAAAGACTGAACGCATATTTCTCACTGATTGGGTCTTCGCACTGAACCACTTACAATGAAGTTCGTTTCGGGTCCCATTTGGTACTCAGTTTAGTGCATATTTGCACTTTCGATTGACCAGATTCACGCCAGCTTTCCCTATATTGACATACATTCGCAGTCCCATGCGTACCAATTAATGTTTTTCCTTGGAGCGAGGTACTTGGAACTTTGCTCCAAGTTTTATGCATCTTGGGCAGTAGCGCTGCACAAATGACTTTTTACAAGACTGCACAAAGGACATAAGTTTGAACATTTCAGCGATGGATTTCTTTGAGCACCGCATCTTCCTGAAATAAATCCCACGTCAAAATTAGATGACACACGTTAGATACCCTCATCCATATAGTAATTTTGTTCTGACGGGAGACTTGCAGGCCTCTCTCGTTTGTGACAGTCTTCAGTTGAGCGTACTACACAAAGGCAGTTTCACTTGGTGAGACTTTCGAGGCATCGTCGTCATCATCGACAGCATGACATCAGTGTTCAACACCGATGCTTCACTGCCGTAACGAGGTATCGTAATATATTTTGTCAAATTTCGTACAATTCGGGTTCAAGTAGAACATAAGGCTGACAAAAACTCGAGGACCGCGTCTACCTGATGAACCCCAAGGAGGGTGAGACCGATCGCCGTCAAGCAGTTTTCAGCCAGTTACGAGTAGTATGTTAGGTTAATATGAGCACTGACGACTGCGTTTTTCGGGTTGTGACGTCAACCCTTCTCTGGCGAACAAGCGGATAGTAGATAAATCTCACGTGAACAGTAAAAGGAGGTTTTTAGAACCACAATTTTGTTTTCACTTTGAGTGGGTTTTGTAATTTTCAAATGAGATTTCATACTTTAGTTGAAGCCAATCTAAGCTGAAATGCTGAGAAGTATTGTACACCTGTTTCATCCTTACTGGGAGTCATCAGCAAAACGCAGCTCACGACGCAGAATATAACGCCAATCATCTTTCAATCACGGGCTGTTCTACATGTGGTCAGTTATTATCGACTTCTCAGGCGGGAGGTTCACTCACCGTGTGAACTACTTACAGTCTGTTGAGTTGGTAATGTGTTGGAATATTGGTAGCTCGGGCGCATTAGTAGTCAATTGATCAGGTGGCTGTTGATCTGTTCGCCGAGCTTGGCCATTGATTCGCAAACGTTTCGTCACCATTCGAGGAGACATCTTCAGTGCGCTAGGAAACTGTAGGAAGCAGGAAATACAAACCGCAACGCAACACAAATCAAGGTCGGACCAACCGGAATCCAAGTGGGATGATTATCAATGGCCATTCAGGTTAAAGCGCAAAGGCTGCTCTTCGTAAACTATATAACGGCAGGCACGAAGAGAAGGACACCCAACCAAACAGCGCACGGAAGATGTCTCCTAGAGTTTTAAGTATTTGTGAAGTGTATGATCAATTTCTTTGTTGAAATACTAGTATGAGTTAACAGACGGATAGTCCCTCACTGCATTCGCCCTAAAAGTAAATCTGCTGTCCATGGGCCTACTGTAATGAGCCCCCTGGCTCCAATGCACATATGTAGACGGGCCACCGTGATTTGAGCTTCTCAGTGAGTAGAACCCGACCGGTTGCACACAAGTCGGTGATCGTTCGCTAAATTTGGAAATAATAAATATAGAATTCACCAAGGATGCAATAATTTGGTCAATGTTTGGTAGCGACAGAGTATACTGTTCGTATTCTTCAATTTGACCACTCCGTATGTCATGCTTTGAACTTTATATTCCGCAACGCATGGTTTCTAGGAAGTGGGTTAGTGGCAGATAGCTCCGACAGAAGCAGATCAACACTTGGCTCTTCTCAAAAGAACTGGATGGTGACAGAAGATTTATCTGAATGTCATCTGGAATCCTCGTTTAGTGTAATATTCATTTGAATGTGCTGATAGAGGACCGTTCCCTACTTAGGCTGGAAGGATAGAGTAAACCGGTGATGCAACTGGTATGCGACTGGGCCTTGCGGTATCATCAAGTTACTTGTCTCCTACAATTTGATGTTCAATTAGGAAATGAGACCGATGAACGTGCGGGGATTTCGCCTACCCAAGGAACCATAAACAAGGCGAAACCGGTAGTGGGCCGTGTGAGAATTTTACCCAGCCGCCCCCTACTCATTGGGTAATTCACAACGGAATCTCGATGCAGCCTTTGGGTTGCACAGTATGCGGAAGAATATTAATATGCTATTGATTCCTTTAAACCAAACTTATGTGCAGTTTGAGCGCCAAATTTACGGTCACATCAGGGCTACCATAATCTGTAGTCCTTAGTCGACGGAAACACAGCGGTGTGGAAACACTGGCTGTTCTTTTTTGCAACTATAAATGAGGCCCTTCGAGTGGCCGAGCAATCTAATATATCCATTGAACACATTTCTTTTATAAGTCTAGACGACATTGAGGGTGAAAAAACGCGATGAGCTGAATCTCCCAAAAACTCAGAGCAGTTTGTACACAACAGT